GATAATAAAAAAAAACTTAATATTAATGAATAATAATCCTATTTGATAAAAAAATAATCCTAATATAAAACATAGTGATGAATAATAATCCAATTTGATAATAATCCAATTTAATAATAATCCAATTTAATGAATAATCCAATTTGATAATAAGCCAATTTAATGAATAATAATCCAATTATCTTAAAAATAATCCTAATATAAAACATAGTGATGAATAATAATCCAATTTGATAATAATCCAATTTAATAATAATCCAATTTAATGAATAGTCCAATTTGATAATAAGCCAATTTAATGAATAATAATCCAATTTGATAATAATCTAATTTAATGAATAATAATCCAATTTGATAATAAAAAAACCTAATATTAATGAATAATAATCCTATTTGATAATAAAACCTAATATTAATAAAATAATAAATAACATTAAACATATTAAAATTATCCTAGGGAATAATTATACAGCATTACTTAATTACTAAAAAAAAATAAACATGTAATTGTTAACATTACTTAACTACTTACAAAAATTAACATGCAAGTATTAATTACTTAAAAAAATTAACATACGAGTCCACACAAATTTATTTGTTGTTGTATAAATTACAATAATATAAATATAAGTTTGTAAACTTACCTTAAATATGGAACCCTTTGTGTTCAAGCTTTGGAATGGATCTGGAATGGCTTTGAAAATGGTAAGGGAAATAAAATAATAAATAACATTAAACATATTAAAATTATCCTAGGGAATAATTATACAACATTATTTAATTACTTAAAAAAATTAACATGTAATTGTTAACATTACTTAATTACTTACAAAAATTAACATGCAAGTATTAATTACTTAAAAAAATTAACATACGAGTCCACACAAATTTATTTGATGTTGTATAAATTACAATAATATAAATATAAGTTTGTAAACTTACCTTAAATATGGAACCCTTTGTGTTCAAGCTTTGGAATGGATCTGGAATGGCTTTGAAAATGGTAAGGGAAATAAAATAATAAATAACATTAAACATATTAAAAGTATCCTAGGGAATAATTATACAACATTACTTAATTACTTAAAAAAAAATTAACATGTAATTGTTAACATTACTTAATTACTTACAAATACTAACATGGAAGTATTAATTACTTAAAAAAATTAACATGTAATTGTTAACATTACTTAATTACTTACAAAAACTAACATGCAAATATTAATTACTTAAAAAAATTAACATACGAGTCCACACAAATTTTTTTGTTGTTGTATAAATTATAAGAATATAAATATAAGTTTGTAAACTTACTTTAAATATGGAACCCTTTGTGTTTAAGCTCTGGAATGGATATGGAATGACTTTGAAAGGGGTAAGGGAAATAAAATAATCGAAAAGGCTCTGAATGGCTCTGATACTCCACCTCTTGAAAGAATATCACAATGGCAACTTTGAAAGAATATCACAATGGCTCTGATACTCCACATTTTAAAACAATATCGGCACACGGTTTTGAATGAAACCACCATCCATGGTCTGAAAAGAATACAAATTATAATTGTAAAAGTGGTATGAAATTGTCAAAATAATTGTAAAACTTGTTGGGAATACTCAGTGAGTCATGTGTCCTCCTGACAGGAGGAACCCACACACACACACACACAACGCACGCAACCACACACGCACATAATGCACGCACACAAACATCACACACGCAGACACGACCTCAGTCTCTCTCTCTCTCGATCCTTCTCGATCTCTCTTCTCCCTTCTCCCCCCCCCCACACACACACACAGAGATCTCCGATCTCTCTTCTCCCTTCTCCGATCTCTCTTCTCCCTTCTCCCACACACACAGAGATCTCTCGATCTCTCTTCTCCCTTCTCCGATCTCTCTTCTCCCTTCTCCCACGCACACACACACACACACACACAGATCTCTCGATCTCTCTTCTCCCTTCTCCGATCTCTCTTCTCCCTTCTCCCACGCACACACACACACACACAGATCTCTCGATCTCTCTTCTCCCTTCCCCTACACACACACCACGACCTTCTGCTCCTCAGTCCGACAATCTCAAATCCCTCTTCCTTTTCAGAAACCAGCTTTCTGGGTGTCGCCGCCTTTGATCGTGGCTCTGACGAAGTCGAAGTTGGCTCAGTCGTCTGTGGCGGTGCGCCGCTGAGCAAGGAGTTGGCTCAGTCATCTGGTTCGTCTTCGACTCGAAGAAAACAAGTTTTCAGGTGAGATTCCATTGAAACCCTAAACCCTAAACCGACATCACATATGTTGAATCGTTTATTACCTCTTGCATGCGTGAAATTTGCAGTTTATATGTGAAATTGAAGTTAAAAATCGTGTTTTTGCAAGGTTTTTGGGATGAAATCGGCTCGGGAATAGGCACACCAGCTCCGGCGTTCTTCTCCGACGTTTGGCTCGGAGTTCGATTGCACCGTTTAAAAAAATATCGCAATATTTTGACGAAAACCATTCGGATACCTATTTAAATATCCATTGCGCGAAAAACCGATAATATCGGCGATATTTCGCCGATATTATCGGCATTTTCTTCCATGGACATGCCAAACAAGGCCTTAGTCTGGTTCCCATTCCTCGCTTTCTCACTTCGTTCTCCACGATACCTCCTCACGTCGTCGTCCTTCTCGCCGTCATCCCTCTCGCCGTCGTCATTCTCCCCGTTGTCTCTTATAGCCATCGTCGTTCTTCCTGTCCCTCCTCTCGCCGACATTGATCTGCCCGTCGCCTTATCTCGCCGTCGCTGCTTTCGTTGTTGCGCCAAGCACCATACAAAGAGAGTTTCATTCTCATTCACAAAAGTCGAATTCAAATTGGGTTTTTCTGATCTGGTCTGGGTTTATTTTGGAATCTTGGCTGAGAATTTGAATTGGGTTCTCCCCATCGAATTTGAATTGGATAATTTTGCTGGACCTTCTTTCTGACGAATTGATCTCTGCTGGTCATGATGTTAGTGATGGTGGGCTACTGGTCTATGCCCTTGAAATGGCATTTTCTGGGAATTGTGGCATTACTTTGGACTTGACTTCACATGGGAAGAGCCTATTCCAAACGCTTTTTGTTGAAGAACTTGGTCTGGTTATTGAGGTAAGCCGGAATAACTTAGATTTGGTGTTGGAAAAACTGCGCGGCAACAGTATTTTAGCTGAGATTATTGGTCAAGTTAGTGCCACACCCTTAGTAGAGTTAAAGGTGATCTAGGATTATTCTGGAATCTTGGTTGAGAATGATGATAGAACTTGGACATTTGGAAAAATTTTATCTGGGCAATTTTTTATTTTTAAATTAGATTTTGCTTAATTTGGGGCTTTTTAATTTGCTTTTTATTTTGAAGTTTAGGATTTGAAAAGTATTTGGGTTTTTAGATAGTTACATTGAATTCTTATTCGATACCGTATGAATAATACGGTTATTAGTTTGATACTGCACCAAACTAATTTAATCAGTACTATCCATTGGTTATTTATTTTATCCGACAAAAATAGGCATTACAGTCCGAGCTGCCAAACGACACAATGCAACCATATGCATTTAAATTTAAAATACGAATTTAAGCTTATAAATAATGTATGTCAGAATATTTGGATTATGGTAAACAATGAACTTCAAACTTTTATTATAAGTTGGCTCACAGATCATACAATGCAACATGGTTTTGCACCGATCGTGTTATTTCTTTTTATTTGAACCTCTAGATCACATTTTGTGACGTTCTTATCAAAAATTTATTATTTGATTATTAATAAATTGCTATCATTTTGCATCAAAAAATAGATGGGTAGTCCAACAGATGAGAGACCTTGCTTAGATTTCTTGCATCACATATAGTTAGGCATAAATCCAAGGCCAGCCGGTTGGCCCGATTCCTCTTTTTTGGCACGGTGGAGTCCATGAGTCTTTAGTCTATTTCTTGAAGACGGTTTTCGTGTCATTCTGGATTATTTTTTACACTCTGATCGAATCGGTTGGAAATGGCCTTACATGGCACTAAATCATTGGTTGCATTGGACACAAGTGTGGTACATCAGCAAACAAATGGAAAACTTAATGGAATTAAATGGCAGAGACCAAATTGATTTACAGTAGATAATTTCAAGAACGACATTGATTGATTTTCAAATTACGGGATCTAAATGATGAGATAGGTCAATTTTAAGGACCATTTGTAATAAAAACCCTTTAATATATAGATTGTCTTTTTCTTTTTCGTATCTTGTTTTTGGAGGTTCCTAGTTTCCAAAAACTATACATCGCCGGCGCCATATTTTTGCTTTACTAAATTTACCCAACTTTTGAGTGCATATCGTGACACTTTATTCTTTAGCTAGGAAGAAACACACAGATGATGATGAAGATTATTGTTATTGCAAAAGTATAATCGTTGTTTATATTGTTTTACTGTTGGTTTTAAAATGAATGAAAGTGCTTTTGGTGAAAGTGTTTTTGGGTTCCAAAAGCACTTGAAGTTCTTTTTGGAAGAAACACTAGTTATGTGATTCTTGTAGGAAACACTTAAAGTGTTTTTACAGGATTCACTTGTATTTTTATTAGGGATTAATTTTAAAAACATTTTCATCAAAAACGTTTCTAGTCATTATAATAGACTCACACATAAATGCTGTCTAACTCTATAAACAATGAATTTCAAACTTTTATTATAAGTTGGCTCACAGTTCATACAATGCAACATGGTTTTGCACCGATCGTGTTATTTCTTTTTATTTGAACCTCTAGATCACATTTTGTGACGTTCTTATCAAAAATTTATTATTTGATTATTAATAAATCGCTATCGTTTTGCATCAAAAAATAGATGGGTAGTCCAACGGATGAGAGACCTTGCTTAGATTTCTTGCATCACATATAGTTAGGCATAAATCCAAGGCCAGCCGGTTGGCCCGATTCCTCTTTTTTGGCACGGTGGAGTCCATGAGTCTTTAGTCTATTTCTTGAAGACGGTTTCGTGTCATTCTTGATTATTTTTGACCCTCTGATCGGATCGGTTGGAAATGGCCTTACATGACACTAAATCTTTGGTTGCATTGGCCACAAGTGTGGTACATCAGCAAACAAACGGAAAACTTAATGGAATTAAATGGCAGAGACCAAATTGATTTACAGTAGATAATTTCAGGAACGACATTAATTGATTTTCTAATTAAAGGACCTAAATGATGAGATAGGTCAATTTTAAGGACAATTTATAATAAAAACCCTTTAATATATAGATTGTCTTTTTCTTTTTCGTATCTTGTTTTTGGAGGTTCCTAGTTTCCAAAAACTATACATCGCCGGCGCCATAATTTTTTCTTTACTAAATTTACCCAACTTTTGAGTAGCATATCGTGACACTTTATTCTTTAGCTAGGAAGAAACACACAGATGATGATGAAGATTATTGTTATTGCAAAAGTATAATCGTTGTTTATATTGTTTTACTGTTGGTTTTAAAATGAATGAAAGTGTTTTTGGGTTCCAAAAGCACTTGAAGTTCTTTTTGGAAGAAACACTAGTTATGTGATTCTTGTAGGAAGCACTTCAAGTGTTTTTACAGGATTTACTTGTATTTTTATTAGGGATTAATTTTAAAAACATTTTCATCAAAAGCGTTTCTAGTCATTATGATAGACTCACGCAGAAATGCTGTCCAACTCTATAAAACACTGCACTTGTGAGGATGCAATTACACATAACACAAAAACAAATCTAAAATGGGTTCCAAAGAAGTAGGCAATAAAAAGCCTCATCTTCTTTGCATCCCTTTTCCAGCTCAAAGCCACATAAAGGCAATGCTCAAATTTGCAAAACTCCTCCACCATGGAGGTTTTCACATCACCTTTGTCAACACTGAGTTCAATCACAAACTCTATCTAAAATCTCTAGGTCCCGACTCCCTCGACGGCTTGCCTGATTTCCGGTTTGAAACCATGCCAGATGGCCTTCAAAGTTCAGATGAAGATACCACTCAAGATTTGATTTCGCTTGTTGAGTCAGTCGGGAAAAACTTCACAGCTCCATTTCGTGACATCCTCGTGAAACTCGATCGTTCAGCAACTTGCAACGATATTCCTCCAGTGAGTCACATTGTTTCGGATGGTTGGATGGCTTTCACTGTCACAGCAGCTGAAGAAGTTGGAATCCCTATCGTACTCTTCTTCACTATTTCCGCAAGCAGCTTCATGGGCTTCAATCAATATCCAACTTTGGAGGAAAAAGGACTTGCCCCACTCAAAGGTGAAAGAGATACCGTTGAAGCACTTAATTAACGGTTTCAGTTTCATATTGTTTCCCTTGTTTTAAACCAAGAGAACAACTCAACAAATTGTAGTTTTCAAAAAAATGAAAACTAAAAAGGACGTAGTTATCAAAGGGGGCATTAATTAAGACACATAAAAGCTCATTTTTTGAACCAGTAGTGAATAAAACTTATTTTTCTTCACTTGGGTTTTTGCAGAGGAGAGTTGGTTAACAAATGGCTTTCTGGACAAGGTTTTAGATTGGGTTCCAGGAATGAAAGATATCAGGTTAAGGGACCTTCCAAACAACTTTATTACTACAGATCCCAATGACGTAGGCTGGGTCTTCTGCTTGGAATCAATTCAAAAATTCAAGAGGGGTTCAGCAATTGTCATTCACACTTTTGATGCATTGGAGCACCAAGTTTTGGATTCTCTCTCGTCCATGTTTCCGCGTGTTTACGCCATTGGCCCTCACCAGTTACTCCTCAACAGGATACCAGAGCCCCCCTTGAAGGCTATGGGATACAGTCTATGGAAAGAGGAAACTGAGTGCCTCCAATGGCTAAATTCTAAGGCACCAAACTCAGTTGTTTATGTGAATTTTGGCAGCTTAGCATTCGTGACACCGGAACATCTTGTTGAGTTTGGGTGGGGACTGGCAAATAGCAAGGTGCCCTTCTTTTGGGTGATTAGACCTGATCTTGTCGTCCGTGAATGGGCCATTTTTCAACCTGAGTTTGTCGCGGAGACGAAGGAAAGAGGTCTAATAGCGAGTTGGTGTCCACAAGAGCAAGTCCTGGAGCACTCATCAGTCGGAGGATTTTTAACCCATAGCGGATGGAATTCAACGATCGAGAGCCTATGCGCAGGCGTGCCTATGCTATGTTTGCCATGCTTCTCTGACCAGCAAACGAACTGTTATTGTGTTTGTAAAAAATGGGGTATCGGCATGGAGATTAGTTACGATGTGAAGAGAGATGAAGTAGAGAAGCTCGTTATAGAGTTAATGGAGGGAGAGAAAGGTAAGCAAATGAAAAATAAGGCCATGGAGTGGAAGCAACTGGCAGAAGAAGCCACTGCTCCACATGGTTCATCGTCCACAAACTTGGACAATTTTGTGAAGCAAGTGCTACTAAGAAAAAGCTGAAGATCATGCGTCCCAGGGGTTCAGGTGTCCGTAACCTTTTCTACATTCGATCAAATTTAGGGTTTTTCAGCTGTTTTTCAGCGTTTGAAATGATTTGTAAGTTGATTTAATGGATGAATTGTCTCGCCTCCTGTAAAACCGCAGACCAAACTCCAAGTGGACGAAACTTGATCAGCAACGATAATCGCTTCTTGCGTCAAGATTGCACTGTTGAGGTACGGGACTAAACGAACAACTGTTCCAACCTAACCTGATGCATCGTTCGTGCGTGACATGTATGACATCCACAGAGCTTACATGATCAAAACAAGGGAAGATCAATTCCTTGTTTCAAGGATTTCCGTGTTTATAAGCTCGAATAAGAGTATTCGACGGAAGATGGTACATGGATAAAAAGCAAAATTGATTCGAAATCTTGCTTTCTTTTTACAGTGAAGGCCAACATACAAGGGCCCCTAAACACACACAATGCCTTTGTTCAAGACAGACAAAAGAAAATCAATTACATTCCTAACATATACAATAACATCGGTTCCCTTGTTAAATTACATTCCCTAGTCATTTAAACAACATATACTCTAAACATACATTAAAGAAATATTACAAAGCTGTATTTTTTTTTTTAATTCTTAATGGAGCGTTTCACAGGCACTTCGACTGGAGAAGCAACAGTCAGGTACAGGGTTAACTGTTATCCGTATACAAATTCTGTGTAATTCAGGCACAATCTTCAGGTTCACGGATACACCGTGATTTCATCCTGAAAGCAAAACATAGGGCCATCGTCAGTTTCTTCCCCCAAGAAACTGGAGCCAGCCGAAAGTAAACTAATATTAGACCTTATTTCTTAAGGACGTAGCTTATAAACCTACCAAGCGTATTCAATCCATGCCACTCCTATAATTTCTATGTCCAAAGAAAAAGGAGGAATCCATACTCAAGAAAAACCTCAACACATCACCACAACCTCTAGACAATAAGTGTAATATTAAAGGCATAATACTCCAAACGTTATCCATCCTACACGTTGATGCTGGAAGTAAAATTAATTTAACAAAATCTTAATGCAATAGATCTTCAAAAAGAGAAACAGACCGGCTAAGCTGAGTGGTTCGTCTCACAAGTGGAAAATGATGGCTAGTTCCTAGCATTCCAAGGCATATGTCGGAACCTAGAAAAATAGATTGGTAACATCAGGAGAATGAACAGCTAAGAAAAGTAAGTAAACATTTAAAGATGGAGGATTTGATTTTGCAGCAACTTAAAAACCAAAACATGAAGGCATAACTGCATACAAAAATAAAGAACAATAAACAAATAAACTGTCCACTGGGGTCATGTTGCACCTCAAGCATGTTTTCATCAAGAAAAGCGGATGTTGTCTGATTCGTCCCATGAAAACTATCATATTGGAGGATCCTTAACTTCCCTTCCTGCATTTCACAACATGAAAACATTGTGAGTTGTGGAAATTGGCGGAGGGGCCAAACAATTAAAACAAGCTTACAAAAACTGAATTGCTTACCTTGGTTCCATAGACGAGGCCACCTCCAACTGAAGGATGAAAGCAAGCTACATTGACCTCATCCTCTGCACTAGGAAGAACTCTCACAAGTTCCATATCAGAAATTCTGTAGACCTGAATAACAACTAAGAATGTTACATGAACACTCATAATAGAGGACAACCAAAAACAACTGTAACACATAAAAGCTTATATCACACAGACTCACAGTAGAACCACAAGGCACAACTACCGTCAAATTTATAAGAAAGTTGACATAAAATCTATTGCATACACGGGTTCAGCTGTAAATGACTTTTAGTTTGCACCAAATTCATTTTTTCCACTCTTTTTTTTTTTTTTTTTTTTTGTCAAACGATAGATTTTGTTAGATTAGATGTTAGATTAGCCACCAGAGGGGTTTGAACCCACACACCGTCATGCAAGGGCTCAACACCTTTCCACCACTGTAGTATAAGGCCACTAGCACACTTTTTCCACTCTAAGACTAGTGCAATCTAACTTAGGTTGCATACATTAGTCTCAACCACAATTCATAAGAATTTCATATCCTTGCCATTTATTTATTAGAAGCAGATTAAATTTGACATAAGTTTCTGTATGTTACTTTAAAATTTGATTGAAACGCCCATTCTGAAATGAGACACACTTGAAGGAAAAAAAAAAAGAGTTAACTTTAATATTTAAAAGTTAAAACTAAAATGAAGAGGGAGGGGCGGAAGACAACTAAAAAACCTTACCTCCAGAATGGTGTAAATAGGCACTGTAGTCTCTCCATCAATGACAACACTCTTAAGAAGTGAACTGTGACGACGACCATAGGCAAGTAATATATGCTCTGACGTAGGAGAGAACTGCCACAAAAATCAAGGAATAACAAAATGGAATAAGTGTACAATGAAAATACAAATTCTTTGCTTGATCAAAAAGAAATATAAAGGAAAAAAAAAACTTCAAATGATTAGGTCATGAATCTTTTGCATATAAAAAAAATTATCAATTTATTGCTTATTTGTTCTAATCATAATGGCAGTGCATTGGAAATCTAAGTCATATACCATCAGCTGTTGGATTGAATATTGAAACAACATGATCACACATCAACAATACAAGGCAAACTATAACAGATTCCCCATACATATAACATACCTATGTATGTATGTGTTTATATACCGCTACATAACAACACCATGCTTCAACTTTAGATTTTCTGGTGGCATATGCCTTTTAAAGAGGTCGCACTTGGTGCGATGGCAAGTGCCTTCGCCCATGAGCGGTAGGTCTCGGGTTCGAGACTTGGGAGCAGCCTCTCCATAAATGGGGGTAAGGCTAGCCGACATTCACCTCTCCCAGACCCTGCGTAAAGCGGGAGCCTTGTGCACTGGGTACGACCTTTTATATGCCTTTTCAAAAATATATGCAAATGCAACTTACTACATTCTATCCGCAAATGCAATTTATTACATTCTAAGCACATAACAGATATCTTATCATAACTCCTGAGTCTCTAACTCAACTAAAGCTAAGCTGAGCATTGGCATGAATTATTGAGCTCTTATGCTGAGATTTCAAGGGATGCACTCCATATGGGGCTACTAACCTTAGTTTTCAGTTAAAATGAAACATTTAAGTTTCCACTATAGATTTTCTTTAGTCTTAGGGAAAACAGTTAAACAAGTAAAGAATGGTTGGAAAATCAATGAGAAACTAATGATTAAGATGAACCAATAAGTCAAACATCTTCAAAATGTAGCTGACCTGAATAGATGTTAGGCAGTGGGCAGCTCTTATTGCCCGGGATGCAAGAACCGTTCCAAATCTAGATAAATAAAAGAAAATCAGGCTGTAGAAAGAAGGAAAATGCATATGGAAAGCTAAAAGAGAGGTAAGAAAAGATAACACATATTATAGGGAGTTAAAGGTTTACGTTGCTTCCTCAAGGGAATATATCCGGAGCTCATACACGACATGGTGAGCTGATATTGGATGTCGAGTTGGGGAAGTTGATGCCCCTGTCACGTCATGGTTGACCTGGCTCTGCAATCCAAGATCAGCTTCCATATGGGGTAACATACATGCAACACATGCAGCTAAAAACCTTCCGCAAGGGGAAAAATGGGCACCCATCTCACTGAAACAAATTATCAAAGTAAAAATCCAAAAAGATATGGCCAGTAATACTATTAAAGTCCAAACAACCATGCAATGCTGAAGGAGAGAAAGAAAAGAAAAAATAGCCAAACATTTCATGATCATCTACTAATCAAATATTTGTTTGAAAAAGGTGTAGATCCAGTGAAAACAAACTGCCTTTGACAAAAAAAAAAGTATACACAAACTACCAACTGATGTTGCATCCTTTATGAATGTACTGGTTTTGCAAGACTTACGAATAAGCTAAAAGCAATGTAAAAGTAAATAAAGCAATAAAGTACCATGAAAGTTTAGAACAGAAAGAAAACTACCTACAAAGTACAGCATGTGGAATGGTTAAGCGACATCTTTCTGCATCAAGGGGAGAACAAGGATTTTTCAAATCATGTGGCCAAATTCTGAGCTTCACAGTGCAAGGCAACTCTGCAGCTGCTGCTGCAGCGAGTGAGTTGGCAAGTTCAGATTGGATTCTGCTCACAACAGGTTGAGGCTCACTTTCAGCATGCGGAATACTATTGAATCCAGCACCTTCATTAGATCCAATTGTCGACACCATATGAGTTCTTGAAGTACGATGCCGGGTACTAGATCTTCCAGTAACCCTGGATTGGTTCACACCGGTTGGTATTACTGAAGAAGTTATGGCTGGATTATCCATCTCACCATGTGCAGATGGATTATCTTGGGTAGCATCACTTACCGGCCGCATATTCCGTTGGCTAGCTTGGGTCTGACCAATTAACCACCCTTGCAAGAAAGGAAGTTCCCAATATGTTGAGTCACCAAATGGGAAAATATGATTGCTCCTCCCTTCAGGCTGCACTTCCATAGCCTCTAAACTGTCCACTGCAGGTTGAGAAACTTCAGTTTCCATTTCATTCAAGAAAGTATTAGTTTCTGTCTCTTCTGGTGCTGGAGAAGAGCTACTAGGTTCAATTGGGGACAGCAGAAGTTCATACTGCCCTGAAGGAGTTGAATATGTTAGCAAGCGCACTGAAGCAGAAGGATCAACTCGCTGTAGCGCACTACTTGAACCAATGTCCACGTTACTACGCTGCATAGATATTCTCCCATTATCTCTATCAAATGAAGGCCATATCAGAAATGGTAAAGACATAAGAGGTAGTCCATCTACCAAACCAGAACGATCACTAGATTGACCATCTGCCAAATATACAGTAGGTGGAGGATAGCGCAAATAACCCAGAGAAGTTGCAAGTGTCATCGAGGAATCTGAGGAGTCAAGGTCATTCACCTACAAATAAGAAAAAGACATGATTAAAATATATTTAATCAAAGAAACGATTAATATTTGTAACAAACAAAGAAACAGAAAAATGACTACCCAAAAACTTACCTCAGCAGTTAAAAGGAAAGGAGCTCCATGAGGGTGAAAATGCACAGCCCGGAGCGAACGCCGTGTCTTCAGTACTATGGTTGGGGAGGATGTTTCCCCTCTCCTATTGTAGTGCCATATGTACAACTAATGCAAGATTTAATGGTTAAGGCCATTAATAAGAATTG